AGCTCCAGCAGCCTCAGCTTGGCTGATGTTACATTTTTATAGTTATAAATTGGTTGATTTGTGGGAGAGAGTGACACTGGGGACCGTCTATTCCACCATCTTGACCAGAACTTGGGTCCTCAATATTTGAAAGAGTATTTAGAGGTCTTGAAATAAAAAAGTTTGAGAACTTCTGTCCTACAGCATGGACTCTGGAGCCAAAATAATTTGCTTTAAATCTCATTTATAATTACTGTCTGATCTTGGGCAACTTTCTTACCCTCTCCATGCCTTAGGTTTCTCATGTGTAAGATGTTCATAACAACACCTGCCATGATAATGAGCACATTTAAGTGTTAGCTGTTATCGCCATCATTATTATATCATCATCATTATTACTAGTATTACCTTTGGGAGACATAGTTTGTTCAGGGACACAGAGCTAGAGGCAGAGTCAGTAGAAATGGAATTTTTTTCTCACAAGCCAGATTATCCCCCACCTCTTACTCACCAGTCTGCCATCTCTACATTTATAGTCTAGGGAAGAAGAGAAAAAGAACGAGAAATCTCCCACAGCTCAAGCATACATTGTCAGAGATATTGAATCAAACCACCGGGAAAAGTACAAACAGATTTAAATGTAGAGAGCGAGTTGCTTTGTCTGGCATTCAAGTTTAGTGAGCACCTCCTGCCTGCCATCCAGTGGTTCTGCAGCTGCCTGTATGGAAGCACAAACTGTCCCAGAAGGAGCAGATGCCAAAGGTCCAAGTAGCAAATGATGGATGCAAAGCACAGGGTAGTAGATTATGAATCTAAAGCCCAGGGAAGCAAAGCCCAGCAAGTTCATGGCAGAACTGGTTCTCGAGTCTATCATGTGGATTTCCTCTGCACTGGGACCCTTCCCTGAGATGCCAGTTGTTCTCTGAAGGGAATGACAAGTTCAGACCTTGCAATGGTTACACCAAGCTTTGGGTGTAGAGACAAGAGTGGGTCCCCTAGCATGTCCTATGAGGCTGCTGCAGAAGGGCCCGGCTGGTTCCAGGAAGAGAATGGATCATGGCCAGGGGCTTGTTAACAACAAGAAAGGCAGCAGTGATACGTACGTTTTTATTTATTTTATGTTGTTTAGGCAAAATGCCGTTCCCATGTTTCTGGTCACCAAATTGAGGACCAGACCATTTGTTAATTCTGCTTAGTAAATGAGCAGCTACAGATGACAAACAAATTTGAACCTTTTTCTTGGTCAGTGAAAAGTTAAAACCAAATTCCCACTTTGTGGCAAGGCTCCTTTGTTCAGTAATCACAAAGATTTGTTTGCATTTCCTTTGTTCTCTCTGGAAACACACCGCTTGGCCAGCTACTACACTGATTTCAAGATGCCCTGCAACTGTCTTTTTTGTATTTAGATAGAAATTTTATGGAGCAGGTCAGGCAAGGTACCTGGCATCCAGAAGGAGACCAGAACACCAGTCAGAACCCATGGCTAAAGCTTAGACCCATTAATCAGACAGTCCTGGCTGGAGTTAGGGGAAGAGCATGGTCCCGTAGGTATATGTGTGTCTAGGGACTGCCCAGGTTAGGGAAGAGAAATTCCAAAATTGTACCCAGCCCTTGGTGGGGCTCAAGCAACCAAAGCAGCCTGGTGCAATGGTAAGAGCTAGGTTTTAGAGCCAGGGAGATGTGAAGTGGACTGGAGTTCAGCCACAATGGCTTGGGCAAGTCACTTAACCTCTCTGGTCCTAGATTTCCTCATTATAAAACAGTGATAATAACTCCTCCCTTGCAAGGTTATTGTGTGGGTAAATATTAAGGTAAAGCCCTGGCACATGGTAGAATTTCAAAATAGTCTATTACTGCCACTGTACTGCCTCAGCTGGACTTTGTTTAGGTGCTTGGCTGAGCATGAAGACTACAGGCCCTCAGTGATGGAAGCTTTGGGCACTTTGCTGTGTGACCATGGGGCAAGTCAGCTAATCTCTGAGTCATGGTTTCCTCATTTGCAATTAGGGATCGTGGTAACTAATGTGCCTTTACTACTTCTCCAGATTGTTAGAGGATTACAGGAGATGGAGTATATGAAAACATTTTGTGACCTGAAAAACATTATACCGAAATTATTCTTATAAAAACAATATTGATGGCATTGATTAACATTTTTGAGAGCTCAATTTTTGCTAAACACTGGTTTAAATGCTTCACAGGTGTCACCCTATTTAATTTTAATCCTCTTCTAACAGTTTTGCCAGGTGGAACCCTGTTTATTATTTCTATCTTTCAGTTCGTTGCACTGAGGTACTCAAAGTCTAAGTAACTTGCCCAAGGTCACACAGATGGCAGGGGGAGGGGACGAGGGGGAGGGACAGACCTGGGATTCTTGTTAACAACCAGAAAGGCAGCAGTGATTCATACATTTCAGACCTACGCAATTGAATTTCAGAACCTGTCCAATGGAGTATTAATCATGATGCTTATATTGGCATCACTGCGTGATTAGTATTTCTAACTTTCTACAGAGGGTGTGTCGTTATCCATTCTTAAGGCATGAGATGGGGCTGTAAAGCCATGATAATGACTCCATAAAGCCATCTATTAACTAGTCTCCCTAATTTCTGGCCATATCTCAAACATCTTAGGAACACATGTGCTTTTATCCATGAGCAAACACATTCATGGATTGAATATATACATATACAGATTATAGAAACATGCCCAAAGATAGAGATCAGAATGTAAATGTGAGGAAGCAAGGCATTAGCAAGATCATTTATGGGCTCATGATTCTGTTGTGAAGGATAATTATTCATTAGCTTAATTGAAATGATAAGTGCCATTATGGTAACACAGTGAGTAATGGTCATGTTTAATCTCTTTTCCACTGCATACACGTGACAAATGCCATTCACACTTGTAACACACTCCTGTGGGGCTGCCCAGACTTTGACAACACCCCTCCCCAATTTTTGTGTGTGTGTGTAAAATTAATACTGAATTATTTATTTTTAGCATTGATGAGCTCATTTTACAAGCATTTTGGGTAAATTACTCAGTTAAATAGTTCCAAAAAAGGTTATTTTTCAATAAAGTTCCACTAAACTCAACAAGTTTATTGTGCTGTACCTGTGCTATCCAAAACAGTAGACACTAGCCACATCTGGCTATTTAAATTTAATTTCAAAATTCAGTTCGTCTGTCACTCTAGCCATATTTCCTGAGCTCACTGAGCCACATGTGGCTAGTGGCTACAATCAGAAAGTACAGATAGTAGAACATTTCCATCACTGCAGAAAGTTCTAGTGGACAATGCTGCTAGTCAGTAGTATCCATTGAGGGTGCAGTGATGACTAGAACATTGCCATGCCTGCCCTTGGGCTCACAGACCTGCGGTGAAGACAGCTGCTAAACAAGCCATCCCAGGTTTGGAGATAGGGAGGGACAGAGGGCAATGGGAGGGTATGGCAGGGGATCTACCGAAGGATGGGTGGTCGGGGAGAATAAAACAAAAGAAAACTCCATGTAGATGAATAACAGAGCAATTTTTTAAAAAAGTATTGAACCTCATTTTTAAAAAATTAATGGATTATTTTCTCTGCAAGTGGATTTCACAACTAATATTATTAATATGATGTTTAAACACTATTTATTGAAGAATAAGCTTGAACAAAATTTTTTCATTATTAAAATTTGTAATGCGATAAGTCTTAAAAGAAGCCAAATGCAAAATGTACATACAGTATGATTCCATTTTTATGAGCTTCTGGAACAGGCAAAATTAATCTATGATGATAGAAATTTGAACAGTAGCTACCTGGGAGGGAGTGGCTGGGAGCAGAAACTGACTACAAAGGATTTCACAGGTACTTTCTGGGATGTTGATGATGTTTTATCAGGAAAGGGGCATTGGTTACATGGGTATATGCCTTTGTCCATACTCATGGAACTGTAACTAAGATCGGTACATTGCACAGAATGTAAATTACAGTTGGGCCTCCATATCAGTGGATTCAGAGTCAGTGTATTCAACCAACCATGGATCAAAAATATTTGGCAAAAAATACTGTGTCTATACTGAGCATGAGCAGACTTTTTTCCTTGTCATTATTCCCTAAACAATATAGTATAACAACTATTTACATAGCATTTACATTGTATTGGGTATCATAAGTGATGTAGAGATGATTTAAAGTGTGCAGGAGGAAGTGTGTAGGTGAGACACAAATACTACATCATTTTATATCAGGGACTTGAGCATCCATGGGAGGCCCTGGAACCAATGTCCCCAGATACCAAGGAATGACTTTATCTCAATTTTTAATTGAGATATAATTTACATTATATGTTGAATTGAATCTCTCTATATATAATTGAAAGAATCATATATTGTTAACATGCTATGGCTGATATGAGTAATACAATGGAAATGTCCATTGCCTCATCACTCTGTCTGCCAGTGACCCGGCCTTCATCCCCTTATGTCATTGCTAACAGGAAGGTTTCAGGCATCCTTCCTGATCTGCCATGTGGATATAAACGTGTTGCTCCTGCTTTTTCCAGTTTTTGATGCTTTCTTTCTTATCAAGAGTGGACAAGCTGGAAGAATGTTTGCCAGAATGTTAAGAATGATGTTACTTTGGAATGGGGAGATTTGAAGTGGATTTTACTTTTTTTTTTTTCCTTTTCTTTGCTGTATTGTTGGAACTTGTAACAAGGAGTATATATTATTTTAATAATATGAAGCACAAAAGCTCATTTTGTCTTGGCTTAGAAAGTACATTTATCCATTTGTGCTATGTAGTCATCCTCTGTCTTTGGGTTTTGTACTCTGATTAGTAAAAACTGTCCTTCCAAGCAATCATGGGGTCTTGGTATATATTACCATTTCTTTCCTTGTCAGTCTCTACATGTCTCTGCTGTTCAGTCTCTCTGTGACCCTGGGGACATGCTGGAGTGGATTTGGGTTGCTTGGAGGTGCTCTCCAGTTGTCTGCCCTTCTCACCTGCCTCCTTCCCCCCATGTGCTCACAGATTCTTACCTGACCCTGGATGAACCAATGAATAACATCACCACATCCCTGGGGCAGACGGCGGAGCTGCACTGCAAAGTCTCTGGCAACCCACTTCCCACTATTCGCTGGTTCAAAAATGATGCTCCTGTGGTCCAGGAGCCCCGGAGAATCTCCTTTCGGGCAACCAACTATGGCTCTCGGCTGCGGATTAGAAATCTTGACACCACAGACACGGGCTATTTCCAGTGCGTGGCAACAAATGGCAAGAAGGTGGTTTCTACCACTGGAGTCTTGTTTGTCAAGTTTGGTAAGCAGCTTCCTACTGAGGATGGCCCTTGGCCGCTAGCCTAATATGATGGGATGGCTAGAGCCCATGGGGCAAGGAGGGAGGGAATGAGTACTTACTGAGAATGTGCTATGTGCCCACAACCCTAAAGCTGGTACAATTGTACCCATTTTACAAATAAATGAACCCAGGCCCAGTAGTTAATTACCGTGTTCAGGATTGCTCAGCTAGTAAAGCACAGAGCAGAAATGCAGTCCAGATCCCTCTCACCCTACAGACCCCACTCAAAGTCATCATGCCCTTGAGCTCTTCTTCCCAGCAGGGATGCTCCTTGGGCAGAGAAGCTGGGAACGCTTGCAGCACGCACACCTCTTTTCTGTCCAGCTGCCGTCAAAGAGCAGAAGCCCCTGCTGGCTGTTGCAATTGATGCCCTCGTTCCATCAGTCGGCCTCCTATTGGAAACTCCCTGCATAGTTTCAGGCTGCCTACTCTGTTGACTCATTTTTTAGCACTTGTCTTAGCATTTTTCAGGCCCTGAACTGTGGGATGTAGACACATTCTTACTGGTATTTTTTTTTTTTTTTTCATAGAGGTGGTTGGGAGAAACTGGAGCAAAACAATAAATCCCTCAAAAATAAATATCACCTCTGGGTGGTTGAGAACTTTAATTTGTAGTGGTTTGACTGTACCCACGCTCACCCTCCAGTAACCCAGACTGACTGTTTCTTTTGTTTTTCTTTCATTTCTTCAGGACCCCCTCCCACTGCAAGTCCAGGATCCTCGTAAGTACTTTTTATGTCCTTTCTTGTCATTTGTAAGCCTTTCTCCATAGGTTTCTAGGGCAAAGACAATGTTGTCCTCTGCTTGGGCCAAAACACTGTGTCTCCAGATGTCATTCCATTTTGCTTTTTCTCTGATATGAAGGTTCACGGGAGACCAGCATTGGCAGTAATCTTAAGCGTGGTAGTGTTGATTCCAAATGATCAAAGCAAAAATCTCCCTACATTTACTATTTTAAAATGAATCTAACAGTTAGTGGCAACAATGAATTTGGTAAAATCAAACAAAATGATAGAATGCTGGCTTAGGAACTTTTTACTCTAAGCTAAAAGGGTCTGTTCTACTTTTCTGATTTCTGATACTTTAATTATGGGTCAGGGCAACAATTAGGTAATCACTTTGTTTTTTATTTCCTTTAACGAACTCCAAGGCAGAAGTTCTACCTCATCTAGAGTAGGAAATCCCTGTGCTTGGATTGAGAGTTATGTGGAAGTTTGATTCATTTTGAGTTCCTTGTTAATGGAGTCTAAAGATCCAATCTCTTTTCCTGATACTGTTATTGATGAACTTGTCCTTTATTCCAGCTAAGAGATTTTCATCTTTCACTCTAAGGACATCCACTTGGGTCATTTTTCTTTATGTATATTTTTATTTTTACGGGAACAACCCATTTATTAAAACTCTTGCTCTGTAAGCAATGTTGTCCTCTGCTTGGGCCAATATATTCCATATTCTGTAGACTTCTGAAGTAAAATTCGCTGGGCTCTGACATGACAGCATCAAAATGCCTAACCTAGACTATACCCCTGGCAAATATAAGAGCCACTTAATTTGCTCCAGTCCCCTCTGTGCCACTTTATTACAGTATGGGCCATTTAATCCATTTGTGTGTGCCTGGAGGCCCTGTGGCCCACAATCCCATTGATAAAATAGGTAATGGGTAAAAATAAACATTGGCCTTCAGCCACACTGTTCTGCTATTTCATCGGCCAGTTAAAGGCAACTGTAAAAGAGTCTTTAAAATCACCCAAGTGCTAATTGAATTCTACTTGCTGAGGTAGAAAATGTTGATTGACTTTAAAACAGGTCAGAAGTTTGGTCACTCTGCCTTGCATTTCTCAAAGCTAATCTTTTTTTTTTTTTAATGGTCTCACCATTGGTTATATGTGGAATCCTTTTGAAGTCTTATTTAAACAAAGATTAAAACTTTTGTTGCTTGCTGTAAAAATGCTTCCCACCCTGGTACCTTATTTGTTCCTATTAATCTGTGTTTCAAACATGGCTGATAATCTGTATCCCAGGTTGATTAATGTGGTTCACTAATCTGCCTTTACTGTTAAGCACTAGGCTGTTGACTTACTGCCTATTGTATTTGCAACACAGTTACTTTTTTGTCACAAAATTATTTTTCAACACTTATATGTCCTTACTTCTTGAAGTTTTCATTCTTTCTTTGCTGCCTTCTTTCTGATGAACCCAGTAATTTTATACAAAGATAGTATACCCCTATCTTTGTGAACTGATATCTGTGGTGAGGATATCAAAATTCCTTGTAGATGCTCAAGCACAAAAGTATCCTTTGATGTCAGGCACCTATGTTTTGTGTTAGCTGTCTGATTATCTATCACATTAGTCAGCCGACAGCATGAAATATATAGTTGCCATGTTTGCTTAGAGGGAGTTACAATAAAATACAATCCAAGTTGAAAAATCCCATGGGGACTTTTGTAGTTCAATCTCCACCCTCTTTTTTTGGCATTCCTAGTTGGCATTCTGATACCCTTTTTTTCTTTCCTTTAGAAACTGGTAATATATCCTATTTTCTTCACCTCTCTCAGCTGCCACTATTTACACTGTCTCTAAGAGTTCTGAACTCCCTAAGACTCTCAAATAGAATGCTAGTTTCCATACCTCTCCCCATAGCCCTGGATGAATAGCCCACTCTTGCTACAAGTGGACAGGCGGAAGATAAAATGATAGTCATGGTGAATATCACAACATCGAGGGTCCATTGGAAGCTCCATTTGTCAAGCTTTTCACTACTTTTTCCAAAATAGGAGCAAAAGAGTAGTTATAAATTGCTGTGTTTACTTGAAAGTTACACAGAGTTACTGCAAAGAAAATAAAATAAACATCCCTGAAACAGCCCTAACATTCAGAACGTCAGAACAGTGAAATACATTAGTCGTATGAAACTCAGTGAGAGCTGAGGACCACATTAGGTGGTAGAGCTACACAATTCCTGACCGAGAAGAGCTTGAGGCCCCTTGGACTGTGGCCTAGGAAGGCACTTGTCAGTCTTACCACTCCCGAGAAGGGACTGTATCAAGTTTTCACATGAAGCTTTCAGGATGGTGTTTTAGTTTCTAGCAGGAGCAAGTCTGGCTGGAAAGTCTTGGCTTCTATTCATAGCTTCAGGCTTTATTTCTTCCGTCATTGCTGGGTCCTGCCCACTCCTAACAATTATAGGGCCTGGAGCGTGAGTACAAGTGGAGACCTATATACTGTACACCTAAATATTTAAAAGTTATAAATCTAGCTAGCAAAACTGTTAAATGAAATATGTTCCGTCCTCCCACATTGACGAATATACCTTCATAATGACAAAATTTTAAAATACATGTAAAGTTATGATTTTTCTATGACTGAAAGCCAAAACTATCAAAAATGACTAATCTTTATTATGCATGTCTGGGTGTTCTGTCCATGGGGCAGAGATATTACGTCTAATTCCTAGATTGTTATATTAGTTCCATAAAATTTTTTTTTGCCTTTATTTCAGCAAAATGACTGCCTATATTGTTTTATACAAGATTTTTGAATAATGTGGATTCTCTTGAAAGTGATGCCAAATTATACAAACTCTCATGAGTCATTGTAGTTCTTACTTTTCAAAATTAATTTTAATTTGGAGAAACTTCACTCCCTGGAGCTGGTAGCAACTATAGTTATTAATAAAATTCCTTAAGCAATAATTAAATTTGGAAATGGACTAAGAATTTTATATACTGTGTTTAAACATAGAAATGGGATCATATGTGATAAGTAATCATTATTGCAGAATATATTACAAAATACTATAATTTTATTGCATAAATCAGTATCATGCTTCACATGTTATCCTATGTATATTTAACTTTAAAAGTAGTATGAATTGTTTAATGTATTATATTTTCTAGGGCTGCTATAACAAAGTACCACAAACTGCATGGCTAAAACATCAGAAATTGAGTGTCTCACAGTTCTGGAGGCCAAAAACTTGAGACCAAGGTATCAACAGGGTTCTTTCTGAGAACTGTGAGGAAGGATTTCTCTCTTCTGGTGGTTTGCCAGGATTTTTTGGCATTCTTTGGCTTGTGGATGTATCACTCCAATCTCTGCCTTGATGTTCACATGGCATTCTCCCTGTGTGCGTGTCTCTAAATCTCCCCTTTTCATAAGGACACCGGTCATATTGTATTAGGACCCATCCTGATGACTCATTTTAAGGTGATTACCTCTGTTAAGACCCTATTTCCAAATAAGGTCACATTCTGAGATACTGGGGATTAGGACTTCAACATATGAATTTAGGAGGCCACAATTTATCCCATAACCCTTAATATTGCATAATTTTTCTCAGCTATGTGAAATTCTTACATATATTATTCTAATTGGTGAGACTTTTCAGAAGTACTGATTGGAATTAAGGAAAAACAAGACAATTAATACTTGGTAATATTGGGAATGATAGTTGGTTGTGAAAGAATCTATTGCATTCAAAATGGGAGGAAGATATGCTCTGTGCCGCATGAATATTCATTACCAATAAAAATAAATAAACAAACAAATAAAACAAAATGGGAGGAAGAATTTGACTTGCTGATTAATTTTCTCTTATCAAAGTGCTTCTGCCACTTCAATAATTCCTGCATTCGTCTGGCAGTGGCACAACACACACAAACCTTCACAGTGTGCAGTCATGGTCACATTCTTTTCCAAGCACAGAGGGCAAGAGATGTAGACAAGTATTCCCTGGAGCTACAAAGGTGTTAGTCCTGGGAGCAGATGTTTAAGGCTTTGATTATGCTGTGCCAGCACTGAGTGCCACATCCCAAGAGGCAGAGGGTCCCATGTGTACTCTCTACTCTTATTAAATTTATTTTCTGTGTGTTTTTGGTATGTGGCCCAGGGCAGGGACCTTTCTTTTTTCTTTTTTTATTTTTAAATAACAGTTTTTGTTCAGTGTTCTTACTGTATTTACAGAGTTGTGCAACTTTCACTACTATCTTATTTTAGACCATTTTCATCTCAAAAAGAAACTTTTCTAAGCCCATGGTAACTGCTCATTTACTTTGTGTCTCTATAAATTTCCCTATTCTAGACATTTCATATAAGTAGAATCATGCAATACTTGTCCTTTTGTGTCTGGCTTCTTTCACTTAGCATAGTGGTTTTGGGATTCGTTGACACGATAGCAGGCATCAGTATATCAGTATATATATTTATGGCTGAATAATATTCCATTATATGGCTATGCCACGTTTCATTTTTCCATTCCTCTGTTGATGCACATTTGGCTTGCTTCTACTTTTTGGCCATTTTGAATAATGCTGCAATGATCATTCATGTACAAGTTTTTGTGGGGTATGTGTTTTCAGTGCTCTTGGGTAGTATGTATCCGGGAATAGAATTACTGGAGCATATGGTAATTCTATGTTAACATTTTGATGAACTGCAAAACTGTTTTCCAAAGGGGCTGCACCATTTTATATTTACAGAAGGAAAATATAAGGGTTCCAATTTCTCCACATTCTCTCCAACCTTTATTTTTCTTTTTTTAAAAAAAAAAAATATTTATGTATTATCGCCATCCTAAGTGGGTGTGAAGTGGTATCTCAGTGTAGTTTTGATTTACGTTTTCCTAATGACTGATCCTGCTGAGCATTTCCTCATGTGCTTATTGGCCATTTAAATGTCTGTTCCACTTCTTTGCTCATTTTTTAATTGGGTTATTTGTCTTTTTA